ACTTAAAAAGATCATTGCTTTATTCCCCCACTGTAGTTTCAGGGTCAGTATGTTCAGATTTAAATGCAAGAAAGTAGGATTCTTAGGTTCCACTAGGTTTATTTTAATCTGATTTTAGGAAGCTAATTACTTAATAATTATTATCTTTGAAAGTTCCCACACCCCCAGCCATCTGGCTACATTCATAATTAAGTCTTTAAACTGCAATTTGTTTTTGTTTTGCTTAGGACCTTGCTAAATTGCTGAGGCTGGCTTTGAACTTGCAGTCCTCCTGTCTCAGCCTCCTTAATATGCAAAATGATGTTAAGTGGCATGAGCACAAAAAAATAATTGATCTCAACCATTTACTTATTGTACAATAAGATGGCAAAAGCTAAGCAATGATTAAATAATAGCAATCTAGGATTTAATTTTTATATTTAAGAACAATTTAGGACTCAAATTACAGAATGGGCCTGTTAATAAACTATTTAAATTTGGTTGGATTTAACAGCAAAAATGTTGAAGAGTCAGCCTTGCAGAAAGCAAAAAGCAGTAAAGACTCCTGTTTGTTGAGTGTTGGAAAGCAGGTGGATTAAGAACATTCAAACGGGGCATGGTGACAAATACCTGTAATCTCAGCAATTTGGGAGGCCTTGGCAATCTAGTGGGACCACATGTCAAAAAATAAAAAGGGCTGGCGATGTAGCTCAGTGGTAGAGTGGTTCAGGCCCCAGTACCACAACAAAAGAACTCAAAGCTAACAAAGGAGCTGGGCACAGTGGCTCTGGAAGCTTGAGTCGGGAGGATCGTGAGTTCAAAGCTAGCCTTAACAAAAGTGAGGTGCTAAGCATCTCAGACCCTGTCTATAAATAAAATACAAAATAGGGCTGGGGGTGTGGCTCAGTGGTCAGGTGGCCCTGAGTATAATCCCTGGTACCCCTACCTCCCTCGACCCTGCCCCCCCAAAAAAGTAGCAAAGAAGAAAGTTTCAAAGGAAAAGAAGCAAAATGGAAGGAAAACTTACCTGATAGCTACATATGGTTTGAGTTGGGAGCTCAAGGAGGGCAGATTAAGTTTAGAAAAGCTACCAAGAGGAAATGATAAATATTCTGGTATTAATTGCCAAAAATATGTAGGACCCTTTAATGGGCTCAAATTAGAAAGTTCTGAACTCAAACCATCATTAAGCACTACTGGTCATTAGGGGTAAAAGGGTATAAGCTCCAAATCCCTGCTGTCAAAGTAGAAGTACTTAGGAAATAATTTTAAAAGTAACCTAAGTAGCCAGCACAGTAGTGCAACCTGTAATCCCAGCAGGGCCCTGAGGCAGGAGAACTGCAATTTCAAGACCAGCAATTAGAGACCCTGTCTCAAAAAGGGTTGATGGTGTAGCTAAGTGGTAGAGCACTCCTGGGCTCAATCCTCAGTACTGCAAAAAAAAAAAAAAAAAGAAAGGAAGACGAGCAAAGTAGGCATTGATATTAAGTGGATAATGCCATAGAAAAAATACATTCCAGATTGGTCAGGATAGAGCTGAAGTTTGATTAATTTAAGAGATGATTTGAACAGTATCCAACTGAGCAGGGAGGTCTTTAAAGTAACCTCTGGCCATCCCTTAGTGTTCTTAGAGGCCCTGCTTTGTCTCATTTTTGTTCAGTTGGTTTCCAGTTATTCCTGGGCAAGGTATAAACTGATTTTTTTTAAAAAAAGATATATTTAAACTACAACGTGAAGTCACTCTGCTTCATAAGTCCTCCACTGCCTTCCCTTTCCCTGCAAAATCAAGTTTCTCAGCATAGCATGTAAGACCTTGGCTTAGAGCCTCTTCTGCCATTCACCAAGCTCTTCTACCTCCAGGCTTCAATTTACACACACACACACACACACACACACACACACACACTGCCCACTCTGTCTCCAGTTCCCTGCCTTTGGATAATGCTGGCTCTCTTCTCTCTAAAGCCTCTCCTTTTATTTTGGCTAACTTCTACAAACCCTATGTTCCCCGGGCTCTCTCACAATACCCTTCTCTATCCAAACTCTGGTTTGGTGTCCATCCACCAGGCATATACTCGGTGTTTATCCCCTTGTTTTAAAATTGTCTAGCTGTACATCTTATTTACATTCTCAGTACCCAATAAAGGCCTGGCCCATAGGAAGGTACATTAGTCTACGCTGACTGCCACAGCAAAATGCCACAGACAGTGGCTCAACCAAGAGAAGTTTATTTCTCTAGTTCTCCAGGCTACAAGCCCCAGACGGAGGCAGTGACAGGTTGGGTTTCCAGTGAGGCCCCCCTTCTCTTCCTCCTCCTTTTTCTCCGCCTTCTCATCTTCACAGAACATTCTCCTGTATTCGGTTGGGGGAGAGAGACTCCTATGACTCTTCCTATTATGAGAACACCAGGCAGATTGGATGAGAGGTCCTACCTATCTGACCTCCAAAATCCCTGTCTCTAAATACAAACACATTCTGAAGTATTGGAAGTTAGAACTTCAAGAGATGAGTTTTGGGGATACAATTCCTCCCATAACAAAAGACATTTAACAAATATTTGCTGAATGAATAAAAAAGTTCTTGGCTTATTTCAACGGATGCTGATTTTTTTTTTTTTTTTTAAAGATAGTTTCACTAAATTTCCAAGGCTGATCTTCTGATCCTCCTATCTCAGTCTCCCTAGTCAGGATGCTGATCTTTGCAAGGCTGCCCTTTGCCTCTTCCCAACTCTACTCTTTATTGTACTTCTAGTCAGTCACAGCTATTCAGCAAATTGTGAAGTTTCTGGCTGAGATGGAAGGAATTTCAAACTCAGCAGAAGTTCTCAAGTATTTGGCAAGGTTGGAGTTACTTTTTAAGGGGTATGTCTCTTTGGGCCAGGGTTTCTTAAGCCTATTTCCCACATACTTTGTGTCACAAAAATCTCTCAAGTTTTACATGAACATTATTAGAATTTAAAAAAGGAAACAAATGTTTCATAGTAGTATCCACTATCAAACATATTTAGTCAATTAGTGATATACCCATTACACAAATTTCAATTTTTTTGAAGTATATGAGGGTATACAAAATCTTCCTTCCTACTTGTTCCCTAGCTACTCAGTTCTCCAAAGCTAAGCTTACAGTGACCTGGGTTTTCTAAACATACCAGGCATATATCAGCAAATGAAATTCATACAGTATTATGTATTAATAAACACAATATTCTGGACCTTGCTTTATTTATTCAGGAAAATTTCATCATTTAGAAGTATAGAGAGTATTACAATGAATTTCATATAGTCACCTAGTTCCAACAATTACAAATTCATGGCCAATCCTTACCAACTATTTACCCCATATTCTGAGCCCTAAGGCTGAGTCTGGGCTGAGGCAAGCAAGAAGCTTGCACACCATGTAAGGAGGTGTACATGTAAGTGTAGTCTCTTAAACTCTGCTAAAGTTTAGGCTTTCCTTATCTAAGATTTAGCCCTATTGGCTCCATTGGATTATTTTGAAATAAATCTCTAGCATGTTTGCTTGATTTTTTTCTCTCAATGTATATTAGATATTGTTTCAATGTATACTCATATTGTTTCATATTAGAAAAGAAGATATACAGAGAGCTTCTTCAATCTTGATTATACTTGAATAATTTTATACTCTTATGATATACAATAATTTGGCTAATCTTTATTGATAGACATTTAGGTTGTTTCCTATCTTGATATTTTAAACAAATGCTGCAATGATTACATTATTAACATATAAGTTTATCTGGGAAATGAGTATAAGTAGAGTTTAATAATTAACATTAGCACCACTTTTTTTATTTTTGCCAGTCTAATTGGAAAGAAATGGTCATCTCAGTGGAGTTTAGTTTGGATTTCTCTTATGAGTCAAATTGGATAAACATGAAATTTCATGTTTAAAGATCGTTTGTTTGTATTTCCTTTGTTATGAATAGATTGTTTACATCCATGGACAATTTCAATTTTGTAACTTTGTGCCAGATTAAAAATAGCTTCAAGTTCTTTAACATAACTCACAACAAGGGGTGGGCTCTATTTTTCCAGCTCTTGAATCTGCCCTGGGGTGTTTCAGGCCTGTCCTTTAACAATACTGGTAGTAGCCAAGTGTGGTGGTGCATGCCCATAATCTCAATGACACAGGAGAATCACAAGTTCGAGGCCAACCTCAGCAATTTAGCAAGACTCTCAGCAACTAGGGAGACCTTGTCTCAAAAACTAATTTTAAAAAAAGGAGCTGGGATGTAGCTCAGTGGTAAAGCATCCCTGGGTTCGATTCTGAGTACCAAAAAAGAAAAGAAAAACTAGTCCTGGTAGCTTCAGCCTTGATTTAAGTCCTGAGCCCCCACATGTAAGAAAGCACACTACCCTGCTAAAGAGACAACAGAGAAAGGGCCTCAGCTAAGGCCAGTCTTCCAAAGACATGTGCCTGAGGTAGGTTTTCAGGAGCAGAAGAATCGCCCTAAGAACCTGTTGGAATTGAGCCCAGCAAGCGGATTTCAGCGCCTTTACGCTCCATCGCCACCCTTAGTCGCGACCCTAACAACAACTCCTCACAGAAGCGAAGAGACCCATCGGTTATCCGGAGCAAACCACCCGGACCGCTGGTGGCCCAGCCGCCTGGGGTTTGTTTTGGCTTCTTGCCGCCCTGCCCTTTCTCCAACAATAGTGCCGTCAAGCCTGCATTCTATTGAAACAGGCTCAGAAATAGCGGTAAATTAGCACATTTTACTGAGATGGAAAATTGCACGATTTCGCCTCTTAAAACACATTCAGAACAGAGAGAACCGAAAGCGCAGGCGCCGGGCCGGGCTTTCCTCCTCCCCGCGGCCGCCAAACCACAGAAGCCCCGTCGGTGCCTCCTCCAGCTTCCCTCCAGGTGGCGCTGTAGGATCGACCCAGGTTCCAAGGCAACTCGCCTAGGTTTGACCTCCTCCGGATGCTACGAAGCACAGAGAAGAGCGACTTCAGAGCTAGAGAGACATTTTCCAGGAGCCGCCCAGGTACGTCACCAGAAGATCCTCGTTCACTTCCACTTCCGGTTCTCAATTCCGGAAGTTGCTCTCTGAGGTAACGTGCTGGTTGGTGTGGTCTTTGTGAGATTCCACCATGGCGTACCGTGGCCAGGGCCAGAAGGTCCAGAAGGTGATGGTGCAGCCCATCGTATCCTATGCAGTAGGTCAGGATTAGGAGTTTGGGGCCGGAAAACGGGCGCGAAGGCGCAGGCGGGAAGCAGGCCTAAGGGAGCGGAGTGCGGGCGCACATCCCATGAGCCCTCGGGGCGACGGAGCCGGGAGAAAGCGCGGGTAGTTGAAGAACCGGTGGGGGGGTGGGCTCGGGCCGCCTCTGCGGGAGAAGTGCAGGAATGGCGGGGAGAGAGGAGGGGAGACAACGTTAGGTGGATACGGAGTGAAAGCGGGAGTTCATGGTCTAGGGTAGGAGGAAGGTGTCAGCAGCCAGAGATTCTGGGAGGATGATTCCGCCCACCGCCACCCCCCCAGCGAAGGCCCAGTTTGGCCCTTCTTGCAGTAGGCACCAGAGCTCGCCTTCAGAAACCAAAGTTGGGATGAGGGTTGGGTCGATCCTCAGTTTCAGGGAGCAGAGCCTGTGCTGTTGATGGATTTCGTCCTTAACTGCTGTGGTGCAGAACCTCATCTTCAGATACTTGCAAAACGTAAGTCGTTAATTGTCTTGTAACTACTGTTTTAATAAAAGTTGATTTCATTTTGCTATTTGCGTCAACTTTCCTGATCGTTGGGTTCTGGAGTTTAAAAAACACATGAGATGTAAAAGTCATTGAGGGGAAAGTTTAGAGAAAAAGCGCTAATGTAATAAGGTGGTGGGTATGTGTTGCAGCACCTAGCGTGCAAAGAATGGTGTCATTACTTTGCAGGATCAAAATTACTAAACTTTATGTATTTGCAGACGTGACCTTAGTAGTTGGACATTGGTACTTTTGTTGGTAGTGATTATAGGCTAAAACACTGGAAACTTTCTCACTTCCTTCTTCAGGATGAAACAGTGAAAGCCACACTGGTTCACCTTTAACCAGGTCATAAGGTGCTATGTTTAGTATATATGAAAAAACTTAAGACACTTTTTTTAAAAAGGAAAGGGAATGGAGCAGATGCAGAGCAGTTAATGGCAGCTGCTTGTGGGGGGAGGAATTTTTTTTTTTTTTTTTTTTTTTTTAAAGATAGAGTGAGAGAGGGAGGGAGAGAGAGAGAGAATTTTTTAATATTTATTTTTCAGTTTTTGGCGGACACAACATCTTTGTATATGGTGCTGAGGATCGAACCCGGGCCGCACGCATGCCAGGCGAGCGCACTACCGCTTGAGCCACATCCCCAGCCCCAATATTTATTTTTAGTTTTTGGTGGACACAACATCTTTGTTTGTATGTGGTGCTGAGGATCGAACCTGGGCCGCATGCATGCCAGGCGAGCGCGCTACCGCTTGGGGGGAGGAATTTTAAGCAACCTAAAGACTTAGAATGAGACAACACAATTGAAGAACAGATTAAGCCATTACAATTTTTAATCTCCAGAAGTGAGAGTTCCTCCCCTGGTTGTTATGTGTGTACTATGGAAAACTGAGAAACTAGAAAAACTCCTATTTTTTACCTGGGTTTTGCTAAAGCAGATAAGAAAAGAAACCTTGATCAATAAAAATTACTGTTTTGTGCTATACTGTCTCCAAATTTCACTCTTTTGAGACAATGCAGTTAGAAATATTATTAAGCCCCAGGATAAAGGAAATTACTAGCTTGAACAGTCCCCATGTAGAAATTATTAAATGAAAGTGTTTTTTAGCAAGTAAACCAGTCTTGGTTACCAAATCCTAGGTATGGACTAATTAAAATTCTTGGCTTGCATTCATTAAAAAATGTTTAGGAGTCATTTCTTTATTGTTTGATCAAAGTATTTAGTTTGTTTACTGTTTAAAAACATTCTTGTGTTTATGATTATTTCAGAGATCCCGGATTCAGGTGTGGCTCTATGAGCAAGTGAATATGCGGATAGAAGGCTGTATTATTGTGAGTACCATTGGGGTTCTTCTCAGAGCAGTTTATTGATAGAAAAAGATTTATAGAAAATGACCACCAGAGCAGTATACAAAAAGTCAAAGACCCAAACCAAGGAAAGTTTTTCAAGGCACATTATTTATATTTTTCTCCTTGTTCTCGTTTATAAGAGTTGGATAGTTAAAGAGAGAGAAATTTTAACTTTAAAAAATAATTTAAACAACGATATTAGTATTAAAGGAAGAGACAAAAGAAACGATTTGGGGACGTGGTTAATGGAATACTTTGATTTCAGGTTAGGCAATATATGAATAGAAATGGTGGTGTTAGTTAAATAAGACTTCAGGTTAGCAATGTTTTTGTTTGTTTTGTTTTTCTGGTGGTGCTGGGAATCAAACCCAGGACCTTGTGTATGCTCAGCACTTGCTCTACCACTGAGCTACATCCCCAGTCCCAGTAATGTTTTAAAGAAAAATAAAATTGGCTGGAAATACTGTGTTTCATTATCAGAGATTCAATCAGTAATTTCCCCTTCCTTTACCATTTGAAAAACAAGCATGCTAGTTTGCAGTAATAGTTTCTGATTGAGAAAGTAATGAAAATAAAAGGTAATTCATATACATAACTAACATACTCTATGCTGGCATGTCATAAAAGATAAGGATAATGACGTATCTAGTGAAATTCTTAATCCAAAAGATTGAAGGAGCAATTTGGGCCACAGTTAGATTTTGTTATTTAATAAGAGGCTTCAGATGTTTGAGCTAAAAGATCAGTGGAGGGAGTTAATTGGCATTTTTGTTTCTGGGTAGATAATGTTCTTTTTGAATGGTTTGAATAATTTACTTAAAAATGACTGTCAGTTGACTTATTTTCCCAGGGTTTTGATGAATACATGAACCTTGTATTAGATGATGCAGAAGAGATTCATTCTAAAACAAAGTCAAGAAAACAGCTGGGTAAGAATATAGTTCATACAGAAATGTTTATTTCACTCACAAAATTGAGTGACCTGCAGCTCAATTTATTTTTAAATTTGGTTTGCATTTGAGAAGTTATCTTTGGAAAGAAGCACGCTTTTGGAATCATTTTCCAATTGCTTCTTATCCTGTTTTATTTCTGCTTCTCTTTGTCCACCCACACGGCTTTGGCAGAGGTCACCAAAGACAAATGTTATTAAGTCTAATGATTATTGTTAGTGTTCATGTTATTTAACTCTGTACAAAACTTGGCACTGTTGGCCATTTCCTCCCTAACACACTTTGTTCCCTTGGCTCTGGGATACCATACTCAGGTGTTCATTTTTCATCTCTGTTATTCCTTTTCAGACTTTTGTATATTCACTCTGCAACTATCTCCTTCCCCTCCAGGTTGTTCTCCAGTTTTCAGTCCTCTTTTAAAAATACTTGTCTGAGCCAGGCATGGTCATGCATTCCTGTAATCTCAGTGACTCAGAGGCTTGAGGCAGCAGGATCACAAGTTCAAGGCTAGCCTCAGCAACTTAGCAAGGCTCTGTCTCACAAAATAAAAAGGGCTAGGAATGTGGCTCTGTGGTTAAGTGCCCCTGGGTTCAATCCCTAGTACCAAAAACAAAAGCCTACCAACATTTCTTCATTGACTTTTTTTTGTGTGTGTGTGTGGTGCTGGGATCAAACCCAGGGCCTTGTGCATGTGAGACAAGCACTTTACCAACTGAGCTATATCCCCAGCCCTTTTTCTTTGACTTTTTGTGGCTGTTAGGATAAAACAAATATTTTTCACAGATGCTGTGTGGTCCTTTGTGATTTGGCCTTATCTCCTCCTACTTATAATACACTGTGCTGTTTTTTTTTTTTTTCTTTTTTTTTTCCCTTTTGTCCCACTCTTAAGAAAAATTTTCTCACTGGCTTCATACCTGCTATGCAAGTGCTCTACCACTAAACTACATCCCAACCCCTATCCCCCCCATAAACAATTGTATGTGCTCCTTTTGTCCCCCTGCCCCCCCCGCCAAATACTGGGGATGAAACTCAGAGATGTTCTACCACTGAACTACAACTCTAGCCCTTTTAGTTTTTTATTTTGAGATAGGGTCTCATGGTCTCACTAAGTTGTCAAGGCTGACTTTGAATTAGTAATCCTTTTACCTCCAGAGTCACTGATATTATAGGAGAGCACTATCACACCCAGCTTCCTGTGACTTTAGAACTTAGATCAAATAATGATTTCTGTAAGAAGCCCAGGGTTTGATTGTGTTTTGCTTGGGATGGGGAAGATGGGGTATGATGTGCCTTCTGAGTTTGTTGTAAAACATTAGTGGGATTGTTTTACTATTGCCTTTGCCATTAGACCATGTACTCCATAAGTGCATATGTCTGTCTGTTTTGTTCCCTAATAAGCCCTAGTAAGTAACTCAATGAGTGGCACATAGCAAAGCAAAAATATTTGAATAATTTCTTACCCAGGAGACTTTAGGATTCATGGTTTCATCAAGAGACACCTAATCATTTCTTTTTTTTTCTTTCCTTTATTTTTATATGGTGCTGAGTATTAAACCCAGTGCCTCAAGCATGCTAGGCGAGAGCTCTACCTCTGAGCCACAATCCCAACCCATACACTGAATCATTTCTGTTAACCTCCTGTTAACTTGATCTTTATTGAGGTATTTTATTTGTTCAGTGCTCATTGTGCAACTCACTAGTATAAAAATCACGAATTCTGTTTTTCCCAGACCTGGAGAATTCTCTTGAAACCGTAGTAGGTATGTGGAAAGTAGAATCTTAGAAGTGATAGGATATTGTGCTGTGCTTCTTTCTGCTTAAGCTATTTTTATAAAAGACAAAATAAAATTGTCTTGCCAGAAAGCAAACCAGTGTTATTTGGGTCAAATTACTTATAAGTTATTTGCCAACTGTTGAATTCCCATGATAGTATCCACTCTACATAATAGATTAATCACCTGTAGAATCCTGGGAAATGAAAATAATAATAATAATGAAAATAATAGTCACTATTGGAGTTGATCAGCTTTTCTCAGACTGTTTTACCAGTGAGCACCAGTGCTCCTAAAGATGCTAGTGGATATTTCTCAGGAAAAAAAAAGTGCTCTCATCTCAAATAAATTTAAGAAATGTGGGTAAGACCTAAATAAGTTTGTTTATTGCAAGATGAAGTCATTAGTATACTAAGTTCTTTTTAAAAGCTCTTTTTTAGGTGGGGGTGTGCACCCAGGCAAGCGTTGTGCTATACTACATCCCCAGTTCTAAGAATGAGATTATAATATGCTGCATTTTTCAAACTTGGCTTATAATTCATTTCCAAACTTACACAAACTCAGTACTGGGAAATGTTTGCTTAGGCATGTTCAATTGACTTAGTCTATAGAAACAGTACTTTTTGAAAACAAACACCAACCTTCATTAGATAATAGTTGAAAAGGTATGTATGCCCTAATGGAGCTGGAAAGCCTTTCAATATGTGAAGACTTGAAAGTGTTCACATATCTTTATAAGGGAGAGTATTTTCTAAATATTGTTTAAAAACTAGATACAAAATTCTGAGGCTAAAGATAATTACTTATGTCTTAGTATAACTATTAATAGCTCTTTCTGTCATTGCAGGTCGGATCATGCTAAAAGGAGATAATATTACTCTGCTGCAAAGTGTCTCCAACTAGAAATGATCAATGAAGTGAGAAATTACAGAGAAAGCAACAATTTTTTTTTTTTTTTTTTTAATTTAGCTGCCCTTTGCCTGGAATATAGTTCTAAAGCATTAGTTCACATTGTTTTGATGACCTATGTTATTACCAGATGAAAATAAATGCTGTGGGACTCTTTTTATTAAAAAAAAATTTACATTTGTTTCTTCTTAATTCAGTGTTTGTAAAGACCTTTTACACAGTGCCATTATTAGCTGTTGGTATTTATTTTAAAGTTTCTAAATGGTTAGGAGTTGCTCTGGGCATTTGCTTTTTTCAGAGCATGAACCTATTTATTCTTAGTATTCTATCTGACAGGCAGTGTTCCAATATTGGGTGGCAGAGAAAGTGAAGGTTTACAAAAATAAACCGGTATTGCACTAACCTATGTCTAAATCAATTCTGTAGAGTGTTTGCCTAACTTGCAAGATTTAGGGCCTCACTAAATTGCTGAGGCTGGCCTCCAATTTGTGATCTTCCTGCCTTAGCTTCCCTAGTCACCAGGATTATAGATGTTTGCCACCATGCCCACCTAATAATAAAATGTCCTTAAAGTACATTAAAAATAAACCCTGTGGGCTGCAGTTGTGGCTCAGTGGTAGAGCAGTTACTAGTATGCATGAGGCACTGAGTTCGATCCCCAGCACCATATTAAAAAAAAAACTAAATGAAAAAAACTGGGGGGGTTATTTTTAAAAAATAAAAATAAACCATGTTAAGCTGAGGTTGGTGGTGCATACCTGTAACCCCAGCAGTCCCAGAGGCTGATGCAAGTGGGTTGCAAGTTTGATGCATGACAATTTGGTGAGACCCTGACTCAAAAATTAAATAGTATATTGAAGAAACACCTTTCTAGTATCACTAAGGGTATTGGTTTCTCTCCCAGTGGTTATGTATTATCTAATTCTTACCTGGACAGATTCTCTCTGTAGCTAAGGGTGATAGAATTCTGTTAAATAGTTGCTGAACATCTGCTATTATCTAGGCAAAACTTGAGTGAATACAGTGAAACAGACAAACGGGTAGTTTAATACCATGTCCTAAGTACTATTTAAATAGGATCTTTTCGGGTTTTTGTTTTGTTTAAAAGCAAGATCTGCCTGCTTCAAACTCCCACGTCTGGGATTACAGGTATATTCTACCATCCTAAACTTTTAAATTGGATCTTATTTGAAAAAGGCCTATATTATTTTCCAGTGCTGGATATGGAACCCAGGGTTTCACACATGGTAGGCAAGCACTCTTATCACTGAGGTACAGTTCCAACCCCAAGGCCTATCTTAAATTCTGCTAAAGGTGGTAAAAGAGAACCAACCAGCTTCTGCTTTTCTATATGCCTGTAAGCTAGATAGAGACTTCTCATTAAACTGAATGAAAATCTTTTGAGGTAGAGATTTGCAGATGAATAGATAGAAGTCATTCTAGATGCAGTCCTCTCTGACCATACTTTTTGGTTATATTTTGAGTAAAGGGCTGCTTTAGCTCTTAACATTTTGAATTTTAAGTCTGTTAGTATCTAGGGTTTAATTTTAAGCATGCAAAGAAACTATTGGGCAGTAGAGGGAGTTGTAGTCCTAAAACTGCTTCAGCCCTGCTGGTGAAAAGATGGAAGCTTTTTCAAGAGTAAGACCTCCCTGTAGCTTTCTTGGCACCAGAATAGCTGGGAAGGAGGATGAAAGCTGGAACAGTATAATCCCTAAGAAAACCTGCTGGCTGCTTTTTCCATTTCCCTGGGCGGCCTTTCTGACCTGGCTGCCCTGTGTAAGCAGAGCCGTGCCTGCTGTGGCTTAGTCTGAATGGATCAAGACATGGAAGCTTCTATTTTTGACAGCAAAAATGATGATAGTGAGAAATAAGGTACAGGGAACTCTTACAATTGAGCTCTGTATTTAGAAATCTGCTTGCTTTCCTGCTCTACTGGAGCCTGTGGTGTTTGCTTTTTAAGTTGTACTTTTCCATAATCTGTAGATTCTTTCTTCCAACCAGAATTTGTATTGCAGGGGGTGTTGCTCTCTGCTTCATTAAGATTACTAAAATATGCTACTGGGAAACTGTTCTTGTCAGCAGCCCTTAGTATGTGAGCAATTATTTTTCTGGAATGGCTGTAGGTTTCTGAGGGGGTCTCTAACCACCCACTAACTCTCTTGTAATGTTCTTGAAAAGGGAGTGGGAGGAGTGAGAATCAGGCTGTAAAAGAAAAGTAAGTGCTGATGTGGGCCTGATGTTGTGTTAGCAGGTAGAGAAAAGGAAAAGCTTGAAAATCCTAGGACTTTGTATGGATGTCAGCTCTTGCCATGGCACACTTGTCAGCAGTTTCGGGATTAGGAAAAGGAATTATCTGATTTAGATGAAGGTATTATGGGCCATGAAGTGTCTCACATTACCTTGAAGACACAGGAGTTTTTCCTTTACTAATTTTTCCTTCTAAAACCATAACCACCTACTTGTAGGATTTTATGAGGAGATGCTTGGTAAAACCTTTAAGTCTATTAGTATCTAGGGTTTAATTTTAACTGAAAAGCTATAACCAATGGCACTTTTTAAAATTAAAATTTATAATATTCACTATGTTTATTATCAAAATGCAAACAGTATAAAAGGAAATAAAGTAGAAAACAGAAGTCCCTCCTTTTTCCACTTGTACTCCCCATAGATGCTTATCCTTGTGTATGTATTGCTAAGGATTGAACATAGGTCCTCGCACATGCTAGACAAGCACTCTACATGTATATAGCTTTTGTTGTTGTTGTTGTTATCTTTTATTTTGGTATTTTAGCTCTTTTTTTAGTTGTTTTTTTTTTTTTTTAATATTTTTTAGTTGTAGTTAGTACAGTATCTTTATTTATTTATTTTTAGGTGGTGCTGAGGATCGAACCCAGTACCTCACACATGCAAGGCAAGTGCTTTACCCCTGAGCTACAGCCCTAGCCCATAAAAACAGTTTTAATTGTAAAATATGCATTATATAATATTTACCGTCTTAATAATTTTTAAGCATTTGGTTAGTTCTTTTTCATCTTGCAGAGACTAAACTGCATACCTATTAAACAACAACTCTCCATCCACCCTTTCTCCTAGCCTCTGGCAACTACCATTCTACTTTTTCTTTATGATTCTAACTACTTAAAGTACCTTTGTGGGGGGCGGGTATTGGGGATTGAACACTACCACTGAGGTTCATTGCCAATCGTTTTCATTATTTTGAAACAGGTTCTCAATAAGTTGCCCAGGTTGGTCTTGAATTCCCAATTTTGCCTCAGCCTCCCCACTTGCTAGGATTACAGGGGTATACCACTATATCTAGCCTCTTAAGTACCTCTTATGAATGGATTCATACAGTATTGGGGGTGACCTGATTATTTCATTTAGGAATGTTTGCAAGATCATTCATGTTGTAGAATGGTACAGAATTAACTTTCTTATTTGAAGGTTGCACTGTATCATATGTGTATGCTGCATTTTGTTTATCTGTTTACTCTGGGTTGTCTACCTTTGGACTGTTGTGAATAGTGCTGTCAACGTGAGTATGCAAATGTCTCCTAGATCCTTCTTTTGTGTATGCTGAGAAGTGGCATTGCTGGGTCATCTATTTTTTAATTTTTGTGGAATCACCAATTTTTTATAGCAGCTACATCATTTACTTCTACCAGCAGTGAATAAAGGTTCTACTTTCTCCATATTCTTTTTTTTTTAGAGAGAGAGAGAATTTTAGTATTTATTTTTCAGTTTTCAGCAGACACAACATCTTTGTTTGTATGTGGTGCTGAGGATCGAACCCGGGCTGCATGCATGCCAGGCAAGCGCGCTACCTCTTGAGCCACATCCCCAGCCCCCTTTCTCCATATTCTTGCCAACATTTCTCAGATCCCCCTTTCCAGTCCTGGGGATTAAACCTGGCAGAACTGTATCACAGAGCTACATTCCCAGCCTTTTAATTTTTTGAGACAGACTCTCTAAATTGCCCAGACTGGACTCTAACCACCACTTGTCCTGCTTCAGCCTTGCAAGTAGCTAGAATTATAAGCATGTACCACTACACCCAGGTTTTTTTTTTAATCTTTGGAGAAACAAGCTATTTTTGTTGTTGAGTTGTAGATCTTTATATATTCTGGATATTAACCTTTTATCAGATGATTTGCAAATGCTTTTTACATTTTATAGGTTTCCTGTGTGTGTGTGTGTGTGTGTGTGTGTGTTTTTCTGGGGATTGAACCTAGGACTTGGCATGTGCTAGGCATGTACTCTTCCACTGAGTTATATCTCTAGCCTTATAGGTTGCCTTTGTACTCTTTTGATTGTTTTGATGCACAGGTTTTGTTTTGTTTGTGGTGCTGGGGTTTGAACCCAGGACCTCATGCATGCTAGGCAAACACTACCACTGAGCCATATCCCTTGCAATGCAGTTTTATTTATTTATTTTGCAGTTCTGGGGATTGAACGCAAGGTCTTCCTTATGCTAGGCAAACTCTCTATCACTGAGCTACCCTCCCCCCCAGCCAACACCTGAAGAGTTTTAAATTTGGGAGGGGGATGTAGCGTGGGGTATTAGGAATTGAACTCAGGGGCACTCAATCACTGAGCCACATCTCCAGCCTTATTTGTATTTTATTTAGAGACAGGATCTCACTGAGTTGCTTAGCATCTTGCTTTTGCTGAGGCTAGCTTGAACTTGGAATCCTCGTGTCTCAGTCTCCCAAGCTTCTGGAATTACAGGAATGGCACCACCGCCCCTGACCTTGCAGTTTTAAATTTTGATATTCATTTTTATTTACTTTTGTTGCCTATGCTTTTGGTAACATGGTTGCTTTACCCTTTTTGTTTGCTTATTTTATTGCATGTTGACTATTTATAGTTGTATGTATTTATGGAGTACAAAGTGATATTATCACTTATAAATACAATGTGGGATAATTTAAATCAAGCCAATTAAAATCTATCATCTCAAATACTTCTTTCTTTTGGTACTGGGGATTGAACCCAGGGGTGCTTTACCACTAAGCTACATCCCTAGTCCTTTCTACTTTTTGTGTTTTATTTTGAAAAAGGTTCTTGCTAAGTTGCTGAGGGTCTCACTTAGTTGCCAAGAGTGGCCTTTGTTTGAACCTGTGATTCTCCTAGCTCTGCCTCCCAAGTTGCTGGAATTATAGGCATGTGCTACCAGGCCTGGCTTCAAA